TGGACTTTTTCAGGCTGCCTTGGGTCTCTTCAGGTTAAATCTTAATCTCATTAACTCATCATCATACTCTAATGTCACTTTCTATTACAACAACTTACATTTATTTTAAACTCCAATTTCATGCTAATTATCATTTTTTAAAAATTAAAATTTCTATTTTTTGAAAAATTTAAAGTAATAATATATTACCAAATATATTGTAATGTTTTTCAGTATTATACTATTATTATTTTTATCTTATCCGATATATATGTTAAGAGGATAAATCATGTTTTTAATATTATACAATAATTGTTTAATATTCACTATATTAAATTATTAAAATTATTTAAAGCGTATCACGTCTCCTTTACCCATGAATCTAGTTCATATATACAATAAATGTTATTATTTTGTTATTTGATAAAAATATAAAGTAATAGAAATATTTTGTTCGCTGTATATACCTCCAACTTGGAGAGATAAGAAAAGAAATTAATATATGATAAATAATATAATTAAAAATAATAGATAAAATAAAAATGCATAAAAACCTAAGATAGACTAGAAACAATAATTGTATTTGTACATATCTCATTTTTTCTCATTATCTTCGGGTCTCATCTCATTTCTTCATATTTGGAGCATGCATTTATAACGAAATTAATGTGTAGAACATATGATATTTCTTTCTTTCTTACAGTACTTGTACTATCGGAATAAAAGTACGAATCCCACGCATAGTCTTGCTGTCACATGTCACTGATAACTATTAAACATTTTAAAGAATAAAATATGGAGACATATTATTTATATAATATATCTTAATAATATGTTTTATAATTAATATTATTCTTTTATCAATGAATCGCCCTCTTTAGTAAGTGTTATATATTTTGATCTCAAATTCTGTAATCCACTTGCATAGTCGACGTACTACGTACATGCCAAAAAAATAACCAATATTAAATGCTGTCAAGTGTCAATAATCACATTTACTATCTAATTTTTTATAACAATAAAGTTTAATCTTAAGATCCTGAATAGATATACTACTTTAATTCTTACACCAGAAGACCGATCATGATGGTTCAAATATGAATCTAATGTTGGATAATATTTTATATATTTATCAACACATGCATTATTTTTTCCCTAAAACATTGATGTTAACAATATTGATTAACGATGCACAACGTACACATGATGGGGATTGCAGGTTGGGGTTTATCGTGGATTTTCTGTCACATGCAACGATAGTAGGGTTCATGGGAGGAGCAGCCACAGTGGTGATTCTGCAGCAGCTAAAATCGATTCTTGGCCTTGAGCATTTCACCCATGCTGCTGATATCATATCAGTCATGCGCTCTGTTTTCACCCAAACTCATCAGGTACAATTACAAATTCAAACTCTTCAAACACACTCTACATAGCTACTTCACCTACCGCTTCCAAAATTTTAGTATATTTCATTAGAGTTTATGTATCTTCCCGTCGATTTAACTAATTATTTGGTTGAATATGCCACATGTGTAACGTTCACACAATTACTTTTTTACTTAACTCCAATAACTATGTTTCCTTATTCATTGCAGTGGAGGTGGGAAAGCGCTGTCTTAGGTTTTTGCTTCATTTTCTTCCTCCTTGTCACAAGATACTTCGTAAGTACTAAGTAATACCTAATCCATATTCATTACCATAAAATATCTTGTTCATTAATTAAACTATATGATTCATGTTGCACATCTTTTACTCACTTTTCCAAGCAAACTGTGTAATGTTAATTAAACAAAGAAAAAAAGACACAGCCAGATGATATAATGATATGTTCCCACCAACCAATGTCCATGACTTACAAGTTGAAATTCTTCCTGTGAGTCTAATATTTTTTAATTTGATAAGGAAAATCCTCGATAAAATAAAATACTAGTAAACTTCGATTAATTAGTAAATAGACAATAATATTTACTCAGAAGATTTTTAATCTATTATTGATTCCTACTCAATAATCATGAGATGTCATCTCATAACTACTATTTTAATGATAGAATTAGTTTGCATTCCTAGCTACCACCTATTTTCTTTGCATTTATTTATTCAAAATCAGATTAATTAATTAATACTTTGATTGAGACCTATTTTCAATCCTAACCTAGCTAGCTAGCTTCTTGTGATATCTTCACCCGCAAAAGAAAAGTCAGCAAATTTTTTTCTCAGCGGCAATTGACAATCTATCCTTCGTTCGTCATGTCTCCAGCTGCTTCTACAACAAAAATATTAATTAAAACTATATAGTAATTAAAAATATAAAATTGCAGTTTAGATAACATCATTTTCTTAAAATAAATTTTCTATTTCCTCATGTCCCCAGAAATTCTATTTCCTCGCTGGAACAAGTAACTGATGATAAGGAATAGCAGAATAAGTGTGGTTAAGTTTTCTCAGTCAATTAATAAAATAAAATAAAAATGGAGTGTGACTTTGGTTTGTAATGTCATCATGCAGAGCAAAAAACAACCAAGATTTTTTTGGGTGTCAGCAATGGCGCCATTGACGTGCGTTATATTGGGAAGTCTCTTGGTTTATTTCACTCACGCCGAGAAACACGGCGTTCAAGTGGTGAGTACTATTTCATCTCATTAGTTGCATTTTGTTTTACAAGTTGAATTTAAATTTTCATGTATTTACATAACTTTTTCTATTAAGTCTACTCTAGTGATATTATTAGTTGTTTCTCTTTCTTAATACATGAGAATGTAATTCATATTATTTTAAACCTTTAAGAAGATAAATAAACAGTTGTTGTAAAAAATTAGAAAATATCTTTTGTTTTTTTCTCCAAAACTACTGTAAAAAAATACACATGAAGTACTCTTCTATTACAGGTTTTTATGTAACTAGTTTTCAAATTAACTATGGTTTGATTGAATAAAATTTTATCTTTATTCAAGTTTTGGAACCAAACATTGTTTAGTGCCATTGGGTCCTACCAATACCATCCATCATGAATTTTCTTATCCGGTAGGACCAGTAGAGGAATCATTTGTAAGCATGATCGGTACAAACTTCACACTGTTTATGTATGTATATATGTCAGATACGTCTCAAGAAAACACAATTATAAAGTCTGACTATTACGTGGATAATAATGTATATATTACCTTATTATTATATCTTTCGAAAAGTTAATTAATATTATGATTGTGATAATGATTGATGAAGCATGTGCCATTGATTTTGTAGTGTTCTCTAGAGAAGAATAGATATATGTGATGCAATAACTAATAATGTTTGTGTGTGCAATTTGAACATGAGTTGCAGATAGGAGAATTGAAGAAGGGTTTAAATCCAGCATCTCTCACAAATCTGGTGTTTGTGTCGCCTTATATGACCACAGCTGTGAAAACTGGCATTGTGGTTGGCATTATAGCGCTTGCGGTGAGTACCTCTCAAACTCTATTACTTTGTCGGAATGCATGCCTAATATGCCTTTGCTTCACGGCAACCTAAAATGGACAATGCCTCACCACGTGTACACAACATATAAAAGACAAAACCCAACTCTAGAGTGTCACATCCCTTGCCAAATAAAATGATAAAGAAACTCCACTATGCAATACCATTATTATTAATGTCATTTCTGTTTTTAGGTGTGATGGGATGGTTTTCGTCCGTTTACG